TGAGCGTCTCTTGAATATGAAATGATCAGTGAGGGACTGAGGGAGTAATTTTGGTCAAAGCCTCGCTGCAGCACAGTGGTGACCAGCTATGTGTCATGCAGAGTCAATATTCAGCAGGTTTTTAATTTCCTGCCAGGCCCATTAGCGGGTGATATCACAGATGAATCCTTTCCCTCTTCTCGGAGGAGTCTTAAGTCTTTATCCAAAACGAAAGCCTGCAAACAACTGGCCCTCCATGACTCATGGTGTGCCGACCCCCCACCCTAATGTGGGCGGAAGGTTTTGACAGATTGCAGTGATTGTGTTGCGTATTGATAGTGAATTGTTGGTGAATCAAGCTTCCTGATCAGTCCTATACACTGATCCCATAGATAGCACAGCCTGCTGTATTGCACAGTACTCATGACAATTATTGTAATGACAAAATAGCTCTCACACTGACTTATTGTATCGAAATTGTGTATAATATATTTTCATCAGGCACCTAGATGAGTTGTATAGTCATAGATAGATATTTATAGAATAAATGTACGTGGTGTAACAGCTGAAATTGTGAATTGTGCCTTTTAGATATACTGTGTTTCCTCGTTATGAAATGAGCCACATCATTACACTGTCCTTTTTGATGGTTGAGTAACACACCCAGGTGAGAGTGGATGCATGCCAATGAGCTCCTCCTTTTCTTTTGGACCTCAACTCAGGAGTAATGTTTTGGTCATGTGTGGTTTCTGTTTTATTCATATATGACGAGATAGTGTCGTCCAATTGGGCATGGAAAGGTTTTGTTTAGTGTTTAGGTGAAATAAATGACACAATCTGGACTCTTAATTGCTTCCACCAGGACACATGCACTCATACCATTACAATGGCACTACAAGTGAATGCACCCCGGCTCAACTCAACTGAGATCATTTACAGATATTTGATTTACAAAACCCAGCTTTATTGTGTCAGTCATTTCATTTTCAAGTGATCACAAACATTTCAAATCCATTTTTCCATTTAAGGTTCATTGTGATCAAGATTTGAAGTAACTGGAGGAATTTAACCTTTCAGAGTTTACTTTTCATGGCTGGAATCATTGAAGAAGATTTGTTTACAGTCTCCAAGGAAATGACGGAAAGCATCAGGCTCTATTTTTAGACCTAAGTTGAATTAAGGACCTGTTTGGCTTGTCAACTGCAACAATAATCATACTGCTGGATATATTGTATTTTATTCCCCTAAAAAATGTTAATGACTCAGTCCTCTATCCGTGACTCTAACTCCTCTGATAAACACCTCCCGTATGTAGAATCTTACTGAAAATAGTCCCCTTTGTCTTGAGGCATCATTATAATGGACATGTCTTTTAAAATGTGGCCTTGTTAGGAGCTTTCAAATGTGTTTGGAAACTCTCACAGTTACTGTTATATTTGTCGAAAACTTTAGCAGACAAAACCAGATGCAGTGCAACTTAGAGTGGGAAATCCTGAATAAGCTAAAATGCTCACACTCTCACCCTTTCGATACATCCAGCTTTCATCCTGCAGAAAAGGTTGATTGAGTAGTAAAGCATTTGGGGTTTGTTGGCACAGAAGTGGCCTGTTCTCCGGTCTGTAAGAAGAAAAGCACTCTTGGAGGCCTGCCGGAGAATAAGGTGCAAATACTGTACATGTTGGATGCATGAGACTTGGACGACAAACAGGGTTGAGTCTTGCATTATGTTCAGCTTGGAATTGTAATGACTGTACCTTGGAGGCTTACACACTGTGATGCATTGCTGCAGCATCAGTTCTGCGGTATAACCATGGTAGAGACAAATAAATGAATATTGATCCTCCGAAACACTGATAGGGAATACAGGTACAACATTTCCCCTGATTCTTGCTTGTCGAAACTGTTTATAAGTTAAGTCATATCCGAGGAGAATCACCATTAATCACTGTCTTTTGGGTAAAGTAAGTATATGTGGGAAGACAAAATATAGGACAGAACAGAAAATTGCACTTCAAAATGACACTCAACTTTTTAGTTTTAATGGCTCTGGAGGATAATCAGTAGTTGGTGTTTTTCACCATTTTATAAACTCTCCACACTGCAAAAAATGGTGTTTACTGTAAATGGCAGATAACAATGCTGTGATGGAGTGGAAACACCCAGAAACTTCGAGGTAGTGATACATTTTTCTCTATTTTTGTGTGTTTATTATTAATTCTTCATTTAGATTTTAAGTTTACAGGCTCATTTATTAAAATGATGTGCTGGGATTTTTTTTAAATCTAATGATCTGGTTAGAAGGCTTTGCCCTCACAGGGGTAAATAATGAATAAATACATTTTATTTCAAAGGGGCCTTTCTGTCACTCAAGGACACCGTACATAGTTAAAAGCAAAAAAGTGAAACTGAATTGAATTGAATTTGCTGCAGAGTGAAAAAGTTTTTTGCTCAGATCTCAGTCCATTTATTTGATGCACTCTAATTGCTGAGAAATGTGGTCATATTCTTCCACCCCACACAGATAACTTCTCTTGAATCCCTACTTCACCTTGTCGTTTTCTCCAAATCTCCCTCCATTCATTACATTACTTCTATTTCATGCTATTGCCATCTTTTCTCAATACCGTAGTTTTTCATGGAATTCTTCTTTCCTTAACTCTTTTTACCCCGTCAACCAATTCCCATCAATTTATTCATCCTCCTCTGCATTCTCTTGCCTCATCCACCATTTTCTCTCGCAAACTTTTCCTCATTCCCTCTCATTATCCATAGGGCTATTTATAAGTATTTGACACAGTGGGGCTTAGTATAGTAAAAGTAACAGGAGCCTCTCAGAAGCTTAAAACTCTTTAGTGGAAGCCATCTACAGTATCAGCCCGACACACAATCACCTTGATGCAGCACAAACACTGTCACATGTGCACCCAGGCCTTATGCAAAAGCACACACTTCTGTCTGCTCCAGTAAGAAACACATGAGAGTCCCCTTGAGAGGAGCCATGCAGTTTATTCACAATTCATTGGAAGTAAAGAGGCAGAGTGCAGGGTAATGAAGTATGAGTATGTGTGTGTGTGTGTGTGTGAGAGTGTATGTGTGCATTAAGATCATCCTTTGACATTGAACAGAGGCCATGAAGCTAAATGGCTCCTTCTACAATAAGTGGTTTAGAGAGAGACTCATATCAGAGCTCTGTGGGACCAAGGTTCCATCTGGGCCTTACACTTTTAACCACAATCATAAACACACATATACAAAACTACACACACACACACACACACACATACTTTTGAGTCGGCACTAAAATGAAGTCTTGAGAGGAGAAAAGGAGAGAAGCACATTTCCAACCATAACAGCCTTTTGACAATAACATTATTCATTACTATTATTTCAAACAAAGACTTAACTGTGAACGTCATACACGTCTGCTCCGTTATATAAAAGAAAACATGACTTTAGCTTTTAAGGAAGATCTGATCATTTGTTTTGAAAGTGCCGCTCTTATTCTGAAGGTGACGAGTCAGCAGACAGGTGCGTCAAACAGCAGAACAAGCTTCTTTTAATGGAGTGTAGAGTTTAATATTGTTGTTCTTGTTGTGCATCACTCGGCAGGAAGGAGCACAAGGTCAGTCCAAGCTTAAATTCGACATTATGTTGGAGAATAACTTTACTGACTAACTTTAATTTTGCATTTGCATGGTTGTTAAATTGAAAGGGAGCAGTTAGCTGTATTCCCTAAACATGCTTCGTAGCTAAATGTGGCTTAATTGGACTGTGCTTTAAATACTACCTCGAGTAATAATAATAATAATACACTTTGTTTGCACAGCACCTTTCCAAACAAAGCTACAAGGTGCTTTACAGGTTCAGGCTGAGAAGCAAACAATAGGTGATAGTTGGAAAACAATTTGAAGATAACACAACAATAGAGCACCATACACAAATAAAACAACGCTACAGATAATGGAGTAAAACTAAATGAAACAAACCTGTGTGAAAGAAGTGCTTGGTCATTAAAGAAGACTGTTTGGTGAGTAAAACTTGATTAAACAATGTGTTGCTGCAGGTCAAATTTCAAATATTCCTCTTTTTGTGTCTCGATAATAATGACAATAATAATATAATGAACATTTACTCTCAAAACACAAACTGTCTCGTCATAGTATTGTCATTTTAACTATGTATTGTGACTTCCCCCATGAGAGAGTTCAGTTGTGCACAGCAGACATTCTGACTCATGGCAAGTGGTCCCCATCACTTTACTTGGTAATGGCTGTGTTCTATTAATTTGCCCTGGACCTGGTGAAACTAACTGGAATGCTGCCATGTTTAACCTCATTGATTTCACCTGAGAGGTCTGTGCATTTAATGTCCTCTCTAAATCAGAGCTTCATAAAATTACAGCAACTCACAGTTTTATGAATCCCTCCTTGAAATGCCCCTTGCTCCCTCCTAACTGTGGTCCTAATATTGCCTGGTAAAGCTGAATTTTAAAGATTTGCATTGTTATTTTGATTTTAGTTCAAAATAGGAAGTATTCCTCTTTATAATACTTTGAGTAAGACAACCGGTCATTGTTAAAGACATCAAGTGGAAACTGTTGTAGGGCTTTATTATACATGATTGTGGAGACTGGGTTCATGCAACTATACTAAGATGCATTTTAATTAGTGGTAAAACTTTTGACAAATATGATTTGAAAGTGGGGGAAGGTATGAAATTTAGATAATTAACAAAATAGAAAGTACATGGTACATGTTATACAGCAACAGGAAAGATAACAATGTTTTACCACTTATAATGTTTAGAATTAGAGAAGTACTGAGTTTTATGTGGTTAAAGCTGGTTTTGTCAGTGTAAGTGTTATGTTTACACTCATTACACTGTGTTTTCACTTCACTCATTCTCCACCTGCAATATGTCCATTGTTTCTTCTGTCACCCACAGTAGCATTGATTTGATCGTTGTGTTCCCTTCCTGGAGAAAACTATAGTAAAAATAAACCTTTCTCTCTCCACCCCCAGGTCGCAAGTTTGTCATCGCCAATGCCAGAGTGGAGAACTGTGCAATCATCTTCTGCAACGATGGCTTCTGCCACATGTGTGGTTACTCCCGGGCTGAGATCATGCAGAAGCCATGCACGTGTAACTTCCTGTACGGACCTGACACCAAGCGACTGGCTATTGCCCAGATGGCACAGGCCCTGCTGGGGTCAGAGGAGAGGAAGGTGGAGATCAACCTTTACCGCAAAGACGGTAGGAAAAAACAAACTGACTTGAGAGGTTGTTGTGTGGTTGTAGGAGAGGGTATACATGTTTTTCACCTGCCGATGAATATGGAGATGATCCAGCGTAAAGACAGCGCAGTGTATGTGCTTATTTGGAAAGGAAGGCCTGTGTTTATTTCCATTCATACGAGATGGATTTGAACAAAAACAAGGTCATTGTGTGTGTGTGTGTTTCATGTTGAAAGGAGAGTTGTTGTTGAAAGATGAAGATCCTCGGAGTGTGCCATTCTAGATGCTGTTATGTGAGTTTTTTCCGCCACAGTGATTTTGAGAATTCTACGCGAGCTACTATTTTTAGGTGTAAATGGTTTTGGCACTATACAATGAACTTGCTTCAAAGTTGAACTCAATATGTATTTTTTGTTGTGTGCAAAACATTTGGCGCCCACCAGCACATGTTGTTGTGTGAGCTGTTATGTTAGTGGACCTACTACTGTTTAATCCATTTTGTTATCCTGTCCCTTGCACCATGTCAGTGCCAGATTTCTGAAGATGAAAGTGCAGAAAATGTGGTCTGGTACTTTCGGTCTTTTTCTGCATGTATTTAAAGAAAGCTAATGTAATGCAGTAGTTAATATGTTTAGTTTGATGTAGTGCATTAATACATTATCTTCATTTTGTTCCCTTTTTAAACAAAGAACATTCCGCACAATCATTCAAAAGTAATTTCAAAGTTAAATCAGAACAGCAGTTTTTTTGTGTGTGTGTGTCCCACAGTCTCAACGTCCAGAGTTCAATCCTTATATTAACAAAGTCTGTGTCAGTCTCCCCCAAAAGACCAACACAGTTCAGTTGAATCCAGTTCAACCACGAAAAACGCGTGCAACCAAAAAATTACCACGGATCTTCATAAACCAACAACTTTGAATATTAGACAGAAAGAGAAGCGTCTGTGCCACTCCAATAACAACAGCATTCCTGTATACACAATATGTATTTATATATTCAGTCAGATTCGGGCATACGTCGGCCTACAGCTCTAAGGAAACGCCACAGGAAATAAACAGTCCACCTGACTCCAACACCTGATTTCCTCCTAACACCGACTTCAGTAACGAGGTGTCTGCTCTGAGCGACAACAACACGCAGAATTTACAACGCACTTTTTTAAAGGTTAAACCGACGATTCTGTTCTACGTGTGGGGCTGGGCAGGAAGTCGCGCTGCAGTTCTGTCTTCGCGTATCGCAAAACACGATTTCTGTTAGAGAATTGTTACAGCCCTAGACTTGACCTTAAGTGACATTAACAGTAAGATTTACTTTAGAGGAAAGTACACAGGGGAAACCCTTGTAGAATTCTCTCAGATGGCTGGAGTGTTTTTATGTCTGTACACCTGCCAACTGGATCAGGACCAAGTAATAGGACACTGGTCTCTACAATGGTAGACAGCTTCCATGGTGATAAAGAGCTGCCATCAGAAACTCCCTGGGCTATGGCCAAAGCATCTGCTGGACATTTTCCACCTGTAGATAGACACCAGAACAGCAGGATAGAGTGAATGAGACAGATGGAGGAAAAGGAAGGAAGAGAGAAGAGCTTGGAACAAACTGAGTTGAAAAAACCCCAAGATGACTAAGAGACAGGAAAACAGTGTAGCTCTAAAAAGTTAAGAAAACCCAATCTGTGAGAGATAGAAAAAAAAAGTGAGAAAAAGAGAGAGAGGGAGGGACTGTGAGGAAGCGAATTCGTCACGTAATCTGAAAGTGTTGCTGGTGGTGAGAGGAAGAAAGTAAAAGGGAGCGGGAGGAACACAGAGATGGCGCCAGCTGACTCTTCTCTCTGATACTTCTGAGGAGCACTTTGCCAATTCCGCCCTCCACTCTGCACATTTGACTTTCCACTGTTTATGTTGAAGATGTAGACACAGATACACACCAGCAATCTGCTATACAAAGGCACCTTGTAAAAAGCTCGAACCCTGCGTTTATAATTACAGATGTGTTGTCATTTCTGACCCACCGGCTATGTTAAAGGGTCCACCATGCTAACGATGCATTGTTAAAGGCTTTGTCAACAACAACATTTAATGGCTGCAAGGCTCTTGCGTCAGTATGGGCGAATGGCTGTAAAGCTCCTGTTGGTGATGCAATGGCTAATGTGATCCCATATGCATGAAATACAACTGCAGTGAGGGGTAGATGAGTCTCACACAGCAAATTAACACAAAGTGCCAAACATGGATAGAAAATGTCCACCCAGCATTTTTCCTGCCCAAAGCCTTCAGATTCATGTGCCTTTATTTATCAATGAAGAGTAAACTAAACTGAGCATGCCTGATTTTTCCATCAATTTATATCTGTACAGATCAACACATCATACTCAGGCCCAACAGTCCCCGGGGGAGCAGATGGGGGTCAGGTTCTTTTGCTTTGCTCTGTATCATCACATTCCCCTTCAGCTTCCCATGACAAAGACATATTTACTTGTTGTCGAGCTAATTGCATCCTGTTGGCTGTCAGCTTTGTGCATCTGCTCCATTGGCCCAAACCCTGGTGGTTGATTAGAATCACCAGTTGCTCTAGTGATGAAACTGTGCAGCTCCTGTGTGAGAATCTACTGTAAAAACCATGAATATGATTCTGGGCTTCATTTCAACAAAACGTGAATAGAAAACCTACTCGTGAAAATAATCGCAGTCCAAAAAACACTGCAATTTATTTATTTTCACTACATTTTGTCGACAATTTTGCTGGGCATGGATTTATTGTGGACAATAAATAGCATACACATGCTGAGGTGTGTAATATGATATTTTTTAATAGAATTGATGACTTGAAGCAAGTGCTGTTTCCTCTGCCAAGTCTGTCACAAGAGTGTATTATTACTAGAGGTGGGGGAAGTCATCATTTTTCAATGCATCATGATGCGGAAGTGGACGACAGAACATAAACAAGATATATGTTAATTATTTTTAGTGATGTCCCGCCGCGTCAGTTTGTGTCCTCCCTCCACTCTCCCACTGACCTGCGCTCACTTTACACTCACCTGAACAGTGCTGATGTTTACTTTGTGTTTGTTGATTATGAGGCACATATTTAAACAAGTGTGCACCGTATTATGCCATTATAAAGTGATGGGAACGATCCGGATTCATACACCATCATAACTAAATACATGTGAGGTTTTTTGTGACAGAGACAGGGACACACACACACAGGCTGCAGGCCAGAGAGAAGTACTTTCCCCAGATTATCACACAACTCAAGTTTTTCTTTACCTCTTTGTTGCAAAAGAAGCGGCGCCCCATTTATCCGGAACATAAATATAAATTCAACAGATTTTTATAAAGGTCAGTTCTAAGTGTGAGTGGTTAGAAAAGAGCAGAGGAGCAGAATATCTTGTTGACCTAGAGTAGAGTAATACGCCTTGATGCTGCCAAGAGGGGCCAGGCAGGGCCACCATGATACAGTAAAGGTTGATGATGTAAAACACAAGTCTTAGCTGAATTGAACCCTCTGAAATCAGAATCAATCATGAGGTGCCTAGAGATGACCACCCCTAATTTATACCCTTATTTCATGACCATATAACATCAAATGTATTGTTGGCTGTGTTCAAATCATTATTCAGTTTTTAAAGTTTCATTGTATTTTGTTGTAGTCCATTGTGAGGTTTGTTTTACACAACTTCAAGAGAAGCACCAGATTTGTTACAACTCTAATATATGTTTCCTGCTTGCCTGATTAAAATGACATGAGGAACACTACTTGATGTTCAGCGTACCCTAGAAGTGTTAGATCAGAGCTGTCAGGGACAAGCAATTAATTCAAATATATTCGGAAAATTAATTTTTTTCTGTCGACAATGTGCTCCCAGTGATAAATGTAGAAGTCAATGGATGAGTGTGTGCTACAGAAAAATAAGTTTGTAGGGGTTGTTTGCAACCTCATAATGCATTCAAATCTAAAAAAAAAACATTGGTTGTCCACAGAAACGTACATCATTGTGTACTCTACATGCAGATAATACGTAGGCCTCAGTAAGGAAGCACTGTAATGTCCTTGCAGTAAGTAGGCCAGGAGTGCTAAGCAGACTGAAGTGTGTTATCTTCTGTGGCAACAGACCGCTGGTCTAGTGCATGTAACAATGGATATAACTTGTGAGTAAAAGTAAATCATTTGGAGCTTTTATGTCAGATCATGACTTTATTGACTGAAATGATACCAAATTGAAATTAAAACATTGTAGGATTGGGCATTCTTTGTGTTGACCCAAAGGATTTTGTCACCCGCAAAATCCTCATTGACTTTTACTAATTAAGACATTCAATAAATGAAAATGTATGCTCAGGAAAGCAGTTATCTGTGTGTGTTAATGGGTGTGACCCTGGTGACTCGTCTGTCTCAGTCATAGTCACACACACTCAAGCATACAAAGACACAAACAGAGTCTTAGGTAACCCCAGCGGGTCACCTGCGAGCCATCAGAAAGCCACTGATCGAACGCTGTGGACAAAACTCATTCATAATGCACACAGGCAGGAAACATTATGCCACCTCCTCTTGTCCCCTTTGCCTCCTTCCCCGCTCCGGTCTCTCCTCCGTGGACTTGCAAAGGCAAAGAGAAAGAAAAGTCTTTCTCTTGATCTCGTAAAGCACACTAGGCACTGAGTGTGCAGGTGTGTGTGTAACTCGGAATGGTGGGACTGTGTATTAATGATCCACACATGCATGCATATAGAGAATGCACACACACGCAACACATTGCACATGCACACTGTGCACGCACAGACTTCATCTGAACACATTTATCTAGTGCCAAGCTTAGGCATGAGCCTTCACGATGATATATCTCCCTCCTCTCTCTCACGCTCAATTGTCTGACTCCGATTACCCACCAGCTTAATCAATCATGCTCTCCAGGTAAACTGCGATAGTGGGAATGTGCACACATACTGTGTACAGATTTTTGGTACAGTGTGCTACTGCCCCAGTTGGGCGCTGCTTGTAAGGCTTTACACACAACTA